GCCTTTTGGCCATTAGGCATCCCGGACCCCTCGATGAAGTAATTTGATGCAGTTTTAGGCATCCTAACACCATGCTAGGGACACTAAGGACAGATATTGTGATGCATGTCTGCAATCCCAGCTCTGTGGGAGCCAAATGTTATAGTCTCAGCCTGGGCCTCGGCAAAACCAAAACTGTAACACTAACATAAACTAAAGGAAAAAAAAGGAGGACTGAGAACATAAATCAAGTGGTTGAAGGCCCTGAGTTCGAACCCTAGTACCAGTAAAAAAAAAAAAAAAAAAGGTAAATTTAAAATAAAGTTATGTATCTAGTATGGGAGAGTATAAACATTCTATCTCTGTCTCTCTCTCACCCCCCCCCCACACACACAAATGCATTCTTGACACGCTTTGTTCTGTGTCAGTGACAGAAAATTTCCTCCCAGTGGTTATAGATTCTTCCTCACTGCCAAGCAAACAAAAAGCAAGATTATTATTGACCCAGAAATAGGGAAATGAAAACTCAGAAAAGTGAGGGCTGAATCCTGATAGAGACATTTCTGAGATATTTCTTGAGCCTTTACTTGAAGGGAGGAAGAAAAATGTTAAGGAATGAGATTATATTAGGGACCAAAAATGAATGTTTTGAATTGATTTAAAATTGAAATAAAGTTTACAAAAGAATGCATGTGTCGAAGAAATTTATTTTTACTACCATTATTTCTGGATCAGTGTTTATCAATTTGTTAACAAATAGTTGAAGAAAGATGTGGCAAGACAGGTTAATTCGATAAAGTTTGATTAAAGCAGTTATAGGAATATGTAGGCTGTACCTTGCACATATTTTCCTTACGTAAATCTCTTCTGTGTTAGGAAATGGATGCGAGTGTGTTCAGATTATTTGCGGGAAGCGTCATTACTTTCCCATTCTCGCCCCTCCTTGCTGAGAATAAAGATGCTTAACCATCTTTATTTTTATCTAATGTCATTTTAGAACAGGTTGGAGATCCTGAAAATAAACGAGATGTACTCTTTTAGATGGTGTCTGTTGTGTCTAATGCTCTATGAAAATACTGAGACAATTATAAAGAATTCAGAACACAGTCAGCTTTTTTTGTAAAAATGTTTTTTGTGTGCTTTGCTTACGATGTCTATTTGTTTGGCCTAGGTTTAACTCAAGGAAATAACCTCAAGAGCAAATAGAATTGTTATATAATTCTTGCTCTTCACGAAGCAAAGTAAACAATTATTTCCAGTGGGAGCCACTAAAATGTCCACATACATTTCTGCTAAACTTCAATGAAGGCAGATGAGAGAAAACTCGAGTGCTCATGGAAAGCTGCAGGTGTTGTTGTTGTAGTTGTGTGTATTTGTGTGTGTGTGTGTGTGTGTGTGTGTGCGCACGCGAGTGCATGCACGTGCTACTGGGGTCTGAACTCAGGGCTTCATCCTTGCTAGCCAGGTGCTCTAATATAGCCATGCCCCAGCCCAAAGGCAACAGTGTTTTACCAAGATAAAAAAAATATGCATTTGAAATATTTATATATTGAATATCTAAATATAAGCCTTATATTTAAATACTAATATATTGTTATAACATTTGCATATTTATATATTCAGTATTTATATATTAAATATTTATAAACTGAATATATAGTTATACATGTGTGTTATGCACAGACAAAATATCCCATCCCTCTCCCCTATCACAATAAAGTATGCAAATGACCAATAGCACCAAGGTTTTTTCAGGTTACACTGCTAACCGTGTCTGAAAACAAAACACATCACGTGCTGGTAGACTGCTTCCATGTTATATATATATGTGAGTATTTGATAACTTCTGAATACCTATTCCTTCAGTTTCTTATGGATGCCATTTCTGATTCTGTGTCGGGCATTTGGCCTTTAGTATTGTCTGGCCATGTGACTGACTTTGGTGAATGAACATAGGAAGCAGCTTCGTCACATCTGGTAGTAAGCAGTAAGAGCATCTGTACACTGTGTCAGAACCTCCTGCTTCTGCATGGGAACCTCCTCGCGACAAGGAGGGTGGATAGCCTTGCATTCCCGGAGCAAGAGCTCTGGACAGCCCAGGCTGTACCCCATTCACTTCAGCCGTGAACCTGCACAAGTATTTCACATAAAGGAGAAGTCAACCTTTGTGGTTTTAGGGAACTAAGATTTGCAGGTTTGATTGTTACTATAGCACATTTTAGTCTGCCCTAGAAAAATGCCATTTTCTTCTTTGTGTTGGGTGTGATAAATAACTGTAAGCATTCCACCTCCCAATATTGCATCATTGTTTATTACTGTCTTTTCCTTGCTCTATTGACAGTAGTTATTTTTCTTAAATGATTTTTTATTTAAGTAGTTGTACGGAAGGGTTTCAATTCAGTGTAGCAATTCATGACTACAGTGCATCTTGATCACTAAACTGACCTCAATTGGGAAACGAAATGTTTTGAAATGGTTCCATGATCATGTCTAGATTTTAAGTAAATTTGTGACATGTACATTGTGAACCTACTTAGTCCTTCATTTTTAGCACATTCGTACGTCAGTTGGTGGTTACTTATTAATTTCTATTCTTCACCCTCCTACAGAGAACGTGCAACATTTTTTAAGTGAATTCTCATGATGCAAATGAGGGAAATGCTCATGAAGAAGAAAGTAATGGATTTTCGTTGTAAATAGGATGGAAGCAATGAAGAGGATGGGGGTGATGATGATGACAATGGTGGTAGAAATTCTAAAAACCTGTTCTCTAAGATTATGTCCATTTAGAGTGGCCACAAGCCAGTATGGTTTCTGCCGGTAATGTACTCCCAACAGCTCTGGTATCTGAAAATCTCCAAGTACACAGTTTAGCAGAGCTCTAGATTGTAAAGTTCTATAGAAATGAAAGGACTGGATAATGTGAGGGCCACTGAAGAATAAGATGGTATCAGTAGGAGAAAGCTCCATGGACACATTTTAGATATTAGTCATTTACTCAGAGTCTTCCTAAGTGAGCATCGTCAAACCTTCACCAACTGACATTCCATTGTCTTTCTATTGTGACTATGCCATATATTTCCATGTTCTGGCATCAGAAAACAGGTTGTAAAGTGAAAATGGCAGTGTCATTATAGATCTGAGTGTCTTTAATCATTTTTTATGCCTAGTTTCTGATCATCAGGTGATGAGATTCTGATAATCAAGAGATCAGTTTGGCCATTACAGTCTCCTGAGCTTTCAATGTGTTCTCATAATGTTTCTAAGTTAGTGCTCAAAGAATTTAAGGCAGTCCATTTCTTTCATACTATTAATGTTAGAATGCATTCACGTGAAATTGAATTACCGCTGCTGAATCTTAATAGAATACTTTGCAACTCTTGATATGTTCATGAGAAAATACCTTTCAGTCACTGAGGCATCTCTTCCTATTTCATTTTACATGACACAAACATCTTGAAGTGAATAGTAAAAACTAGCCCAAATCGTAGAAGAGTAAAAACCAGAAATGAAGAATATCAATGAGAATGAACGATAATTGTTAACATGGTTAACATGTTTGATTCTTATTACTTTGATAGGTATTTATTAAATAAGCATATTTTAGATCAAGAATATATAGAATACATAGTCCAAGAATATATATTTGATGTGTCGGGCACCAGTGGCTCACACCTGTAATCCTAGCTACTCAGGAGGCTGAGATCTGAAGTTTATGGTTCAAAGCCAGCCTGGGCAGGAAATTCCATGAGACTCTGGTCTCCAATAAACCACTAGAAAGCCAGAACTGGTGCTGTGGCTCAAGTGGTAGAGTGCTCACCTTGAGCTGAAGAGTGCAGGGACAGCGCCCAAGCCCAGAGTTCAAGCCCACGACCAACAAAACAACAACAACAAAAACATATATATATATATATATACATATATATGTATATATATATACATATATATGTATATATATATATATATATATATAGTTGAAAAAGCCCTCACATCACAGGTAGTGATAGATATCGCTTATTCATGGATGCACGTGAATTTTGATTATAGCCTATGATAAAATTCCTTCCCAGTTAGCTATAAGTAGTAGATATAAAATAGAGAAGAAATCAGTTCTTTACTAAGAACTAATGAAAGGACTATTGAGGACTACACAGAAAAAGATATTGGACTTGAAATCTGATATTTAATATAACATTTATCACATGTGTTTAATATTAGAACTAGTGAGGATTTTACCTCCATATCTACAGTAGATCCTTAGAGAACTTTCTTCTGAAAATAGGTGGAACTTTTATGATTTGGTTCTTTGGGGTGAAGGGTGTTTAATTTTGGATATTTAAAATATATAAAAATAGTAATTACCAATTGGTACGAATATTGACAATGAAATTCAGTTTGATCCAGGGAAGAACAGTGTCTGTGAACTATTTAGTTGCATGGTGATGGTTATGGATAGGTTTGTGCAATATAATTTCTCACCTTCCAAATGCATCTAATACTTTTCTTCCAGTGAGAGTATGAATAACACATGTGGAATGCATGGCACATTTAATGGCATGGGGTATGAATAAAGGAATTTTAGGTATTATAATTCCTAAGTAAGCCCAGACCTGACAAAAAGTTGCAGATGCATGTGACCATGTGGAGCATTTGAGAAGTAGAACAGCTGTGGTTGGAAATGCCTTCCAGGGAAGAACTATAGAAAGTGTGAAGAAGATGCGAAGGTGGCTCTTATAAAGGTCATTATTTGGAAGTTGTCTTGGCAAAATACAAATATCTTCTCATGGGGATACAATTGTTTTTTATTCCAGTTTTTTCTAATTTCAGTGATCATCCAATGTCAGTACTGGATCATAGCTGTGCTGGGATTATACTCAGTTATCTCATTGCTGAATTTATCCATGTTTTCCTGAAGTGTTTCAGCAACATTCCTGATTGCAGATAACGAATCATTTTTTCTTTTTTTTTTTTTTCCTGACTCATTATCCTAAGTTTGCCTTTGGTCTGTCTGATTGCTGCAGGTGGAGACCATAGGTGATGCGTACTGTGTCGCCGCGGGACTCCACAGGAAAAGCCTGTGCCACGCCAAGCCCATTGCTCTGATGGCCTTGAAGATGATGGAGCTGTCGGAAGAGGTGCTCACTCCCGATGGAAGACCTATTCAGGTAAGCCAGCCATCTGTGAGCCTTCAGTGTACCTTTCTCGGTATTACTGTAATTCCTAAGTCTAGATGAGTCAGGTGCTTTTGAGTGAACGGAGAACAACCAGGGACAACTCAGAAACCTAGGAAAACGAGAAACACAGAATAGGTATGCAGAAGGCAGCTTCCTGTACTGAATGTCTAGGTCTAGGTGTTGCCTATGAAGCTTGGGACCTGAGTTCTAAGATAATTTCCTGTGGCAGAACTTGCAGCTCAGAGACACGTAGGAAACTTTGATAACCGGGGACACATCTGGTGTGCTGTGCTCCCTTTGGTACCTGTGAACCTCTGCATTGTGGGGCTCCAAACATACATTCACTGGGGGACACAGAAGAAATGCACAAAAGCAATTGTTTTCCTGTTACTGTGAAGAGACACGGGTCGGTCATCTGACACTGTAGTGCTACAGGATCCTGGAATAAAGGCATCTAAGTGAGAGTGCAGCTGAGGCTGCAGTACATTAGAGGAAAACATTTCATAAATTGGAAAAGTGACTTTTTGATCAGTGGGAAAAGGGTAGACGTTTCAGGAAATGGTCTGCAAGACAACTGTTTTTCCATGTGGAAAATATATTGGAAGTGCTTCTCTACTTGAATCAATCAATAAATCAATCCTAGCTGGGTTTCATGGTGAAAAGCCACACAATGGGGAAAAATAGATACTATAGTCAATGAATTTACTGATGGTAAATTAATGTGTGCATGCATATGTTTAGGTGTAATTCATAAATGTAAATTAATGTGTGCATGCATATGTTTAGGTGTAATTAGTAAATTTCTATAATCAGTGCATCTGTATGTAGGGTAAGGAAGGTGATTTTTGTGGACTAAGCCCCAAATTTGCAGATCTCAAAGTAGTATACATTGTACCACGTTAAAGTGAAAACTTTTCTGTTTGTAAAAGAACACCTAAGGCAGTCAGCAACCCCAAACCAACAGGTTGTTTCCAGAACATACCACCAAAGTTATCTTTGCTTCATTAATCTTCTCAGTAATCTCATCACTATAAGAGATTAACATTATGTCATAGAGTTTCTGTCTACTGATAGTAGTTTGGTGTATGTCTCAATGTCTATCAATGCCATCGTTGAAGAACACCAGGGATTTTCTTTTTCCTTAAAGATTGCTGGTTAACTGCTATGAGTTGCCTAAGGGGGTTAATTGTTTTATTTCCACTCATACATACTACATCCCCTGACTCAATGTATCCTGTCCCTCTCTCTCCCTTATTCTTTCTCTCCTCTCCCCTTCCTAAAACAATCTCAGCAATCTCTTTTCATACAATCATCTACAGGACTTTGGCCATACTCACTCTCATTCTCCGTCTCCACTGGCCTTCCCTGCACGCCATTGGGCACCCCCCTTCCAAATGGAGCCTGTAATACTTTCCTGGCATTCATTTTTCCCCGCGTATATTAATTGTACAAAGGTGGTTCACCATGGGATTTTACAGGTGCCATGTGTTATAATTCAGGGAGATGGAGGTCTGTTGCTCTCTTATACTGTCTCCCACTTGCACACCTCCTCTCGGTGAGATTCCTTCTACACAGACACAGTGAGTCCCAGTTTTACTTGTTCTCGGTAATTCTCTTTCCTCTTTCACTCCCTTTTGGAAAAGTCCAGTAGTTTCCTTACTGCTGCTTTCGCCAGTGAGGTTCTTAGCACACACAAGATTATCACAGTGGTAATTTTCATGATAGCCTCAACTGTAGATAAGCCACGATACACAATAGAATATGATACGTATTTTGTTTCTTTTCAATGTTTTATTATCTTTAGGTAGTTGTACAAAGGAGTCGCTGTTGAACAAAGCAGTTTGTGAATACCACGCATCTTGATCGATGCCACCCCTTTTAACATTCTCATCCACCCCTTCTCTCATTCTTTTTAATTTTGTAGGATATATGTTGATTCTTTGCATTTCCCCCCTTTCTCTTCTTCATTTGTTCATCTCTTTCCCCTTGGCCCCACCCCCATCCCTTTTGACTACCTGCTTTCTTTTACATTGATGAACTTTGACTCTGCCTTTTTTGAGGAATTACACTATTTGAATTCTCCCTTGAATCTACCACGTTTCCATTAATATATTTGTATATAATTGTAAACCACCCAATGTATGTACTTTCCTCAGTATACCGTGCAGCTACAAAACCCCACCTCAGCTACTGATATTATGTGGATTGCAGGTCAAAAACATGGATTCATCATTGAAGAATTCTGTAGTGTGATTCTATTTACTTAAAGTTCGAAAGGACAAAATTGGTTATAAAATGCCATTTGGAGACGTATAAAGGGAGGCAAATCCAGCATAACATGGATCATTTCCCCCCTTTTATTCATGTGTCTATAACATGTTCATATTTCACAATCTCAAAAAGCAGAGTTTTTTGACTACTTTTCCAGTGATGAAAATAGCAACAGATGGAGCATCAAAAAGAAAAATTTAGATTAAGTTCCCTCAGGGCATAATTACTGAAGTATTGAAGTATAGGATTGGCAGTTCACTCACCACCAGAAAAACAAAATCTACAGAAACGCTGTCTCATATCTACTGTGGACTGTAGCCGGCTGAATGATATCACTTCTGAAATCATATAGTTTACCCTTGGAAAGCCTTTTTGTTTGGGATTGTTTTCTTTATTTTGGATTTTAACCTGCTAGGAGTTAAAATATTTAAAATTGATGGCAGTATGGTCAAACAAACTTAAATGACCAGAACCAGAAAATCATGTTTTTCTGTGTGGCTCATCAATATTTTCATTTGTGAAATGGAACATGAGCTCTATCTCATGAATCAGATCGTCTTATTAGATCAGAAGAGGAAATGTCCGCACAGAGTTAATCAGATTGCAGAAAGAGAATTCAAAATAATAAAACCACCTTAATAATTTTAGCTTCATTACTAATTTATAGTATTTGCATGGCTTGGGATTCTGTTTTGGCATATTGATTGATTTCGAAATGCCCCCTAACTTGGCGCCATGGGAACATTTCTAAACCTACAGAGAATCTTCCATTACAAAATGTGTGGGCGTTGTAATAAGTTCATTATGTAGCCAGTTGATTTTCTTACCTCAAATTAGATAAATTTTATGCTGTTCAATATGTAATTTACTTTAGTTGCAATAATAGTACCAAATCTTTGAAATCAAACTTTCAGGTTTTGACAGACAGATTATTTTGTCTGGCTTTTATTGACCTCTGGGAACCGGGAGCCGCATGAGGCCATTTTAATTGATTGGCAGTGATTTTTTTAATGTCTTCAACTCATCAATTGTAAAACTGATGTTTTTAAATTCATGCTTTTACATTTTAATAGTAACCAAGGAATGTAGCATCTCAGTCTATAAACATAGAAGCAAATTATTTCTCAATAGATTGTCTAATGACTCTCAGAATAGTTCTAGACAGTATCCAGAAAGCATTCATAAATGTAGCTATGTAATAAATTAAGAAAAATTAGTTCACAGTGGTTTGAATTGGGGCTGCTTTGAAAAATGTAATAATTTTTTCCACACTTGAGGCATTTTCTTCTGGATGAAAATATGGAAATTCTGCTATTACAGCTATACATTTTTATTTTCCCCTAGAGGGAAAAATAGTCAAAAGAGTAAAATTGGATTTCTATTCTTCCTTTCATGAGCCAGCTGTATTGTGATTTCACTAGAAAATGGTATGACTTTGTGCTTTTTAATCTTATAAAGCTAATCTTGCTAAGAGTTTCACTGAAGTTTTTAGTGCGTAGAGTTGAACTTATACTAATCTTTAACCACTCTTTGATCATAACAAATATTTCTTATTGTTTGTGCTTTTTTCTTTAACAAAATGTCGATGAGGAAAAGGAAACTGCTTGAAGAGTCACTAGAAAATATGATTAAGGTTATGTTAGAAAAGCAAGTGACATTTTCTCCATTTAAGGCTTTTGAAGAATAATGAGTGTATCTAAAACTCTAAGTTTTAATTCTGGGCTTCAGGGTTTTTTTTATTGTTTTCATAAAATGTCATTGTATACACATAGAAATGCCAAATTCCTTCAGCAATTCAAGGAATAGTACATTTTATATAATGAGGCAATTATAAGGAGAATGTAAAGTAGGATTCAAACACAATGCGTAATCATGTAATACTAATGTGTTTAACCATCTCAATTGCAAATCAGGGAAATGTTAGGATTTTTTTTGTTCTAACTGCCTAGCTTACAAACAGGAATATTAATGTACAATTTCCATGGATTTGTAACACATTAAAGTGTTCCTTAAACTGCTTCTAATGAGCTTATAGGATTTTTTGAGATTATGAAATGATTATTATTCTCCCAATTAATTTTTTAATTGTTGTTGCTATTTGAAAAAGGAATCTAATGCAAGTTCAAACTCTGAAGGGATTTTCCCTTGGCAAATATTACGGTATTTAATTAACCCCATGGGATTACGGTTTCAGATTGTAGTTAGAAAAGCTAATTATTTGATAAGTTAATTTTGTATGACGCTTTGGTTATTATTTGTTGGTAAAATTCTAATTGGTACCTCAGTATTTTAAGTTTGTTTTCTATTTTTATTGATGCATATAATTTTATAGAGGGGTTTCTTAGTAATATTTTCATGTATGTGTATGACACATTTTGATCAAACATCCCCCCCTCTATTGCTCTTTATTTTCCCCTAACTCCCCTCTGTTGAACAATATTAGTGGGCTTCCTTATACTATGTCCACCTTGACATGTGCATACTTATGTGAGATGCTCTGTATCTAAATCCTACATCGAAGGAGAAAAACTTAAGGGGACAAGAAGTACATAGGTGGTACACGAACACACTATCAAGATATAAAGCCACATTAAATGTCTCATGTTTATACATCAGACACATTTTCATTTGCTTTTAATCTCCTAGAGAATGTGTTGCATCTTATTGCAGATTTTGTAAATGACTATTCCACTGTGGTAATAACATACAGAAACGATGTA